TTTCAAAACTTTCAATTAAATGTATAGCACTCTTGTTGTCAATAAGCATAAGAATTTTAGTGGTAGTGTTTATGTTTAAATCTTCACAAATTCCTTTTAAGTATAGTAGCTCAGAGCTAGTAGAGGCTGCAGCGACGTATTCTGCCTCTGCAGATGATAATGCAACAGTATTTTGTTTCTGGGAAAACCATGATTCTGCATTTCCGTTAAAGAAGACAATAGAACCAGTAATACTCTTTCTATCAATTGTATTACTTCCCCAATCTGCATCAGAGTATGCCTTCAAGAAAGTTAAATTCTTCTCGCAAGCTACATATTTTAGTGTAAGATCTTGAGTTTCTTTTAAATATCGCAGTACTCTTTTGGATGCTTGCCATAGTTGGTTGTTAGGTTTATCCAGAAATTGACTGAGGTATGAGACAGCGTAAGTTACATCTGGTCTACTTACAGTTGAAATATATAGAAGACTTCCTATTAGTTCACGATAGGGAACGTTCACTATCTCTGCTCTTTCATCTAACTGTAAATTTGTCTCCATAGGTGTTTTTGCTCCATTGCATTCAAACATATTAAATTTTTTCAAAACTTTTACTATCATTCTCTTTTGACTTAAGCTTACCTCATTTCCTTCTCTTTTAATTTCCATTCCTAGGTAGTTTTTAATATCTCCTAACAGTTTTGCATTAAATTCTCCAATTAACTTTTTTATTACATCTTCTATGTCCTCATTATCTCCTATTAATAGGATATCATCCACATAAATAAGAAGCCATACCCTTTTATTGGTATAAAGACAGAAATCGTAATTAGATCTTCTAAACTCAATCTGCTTAATAAATTGATCGAATCTTTCATTCCAGCAACGAGGAGATTCTCTTAGACCGTATAAAGCTCTGACTAATTTAAAAGTATTTTCTTTTGTTTGTAAACCCTCTGGACGTTTAATATAGACTTCTGTTTTTAAAGTTCCATTCAAAAAAGCCGTTGGTATATCTAATTGTTTAATTTTCCAATGTTTTTGTACTGCCTGTGAAATCATCATTCTAACTGTTGACATTCTTGCTACTGGAGCATACACGTTTCCGAAAGTTTCTTAGCAGAGATAGTGAACGTTCCCTATCTTTTTGTGTGCATCAAGCTCTTTTTCTATAGCAATTTTCCATTCTTTGTTACTTTCAGCTTCTTTGTAAGTTTTTGGATCTTCACTTGCATTAAGACAGTATGCTGTGTATAGCTCGTAGTCGTTTAGTCTAATAGGCAAAGTTCTTTTTCTTTTTGAAGTTGTATAGTCAATATCTTCTGCAGCATGATTTTCTTCTTCTCCTTCATCACTAAATTGACTCTCTTCCTGTTCACATACTTTATTTTCTTTTTCAATTGTCCCCTCTATACTGAATTTGTTTATTGTACTTTCTTCTTTGTCACTTATTATAGATGTCTTGTAATTTAATTCATTTTCGTCAAATCTTACATCTCTTGCGCAGATGATTTTATCTTCTGTCGAGTTCCACAACCTGTATCCTGCTCCGCTGTATCCGACCATTCTCATTTCTGTAGCTCTGGCCCCGAATTTTCCATGTACTGGTTCATTATGAACCCATGCTTTGCTTCCAAATATCCTAAGTTTGTCATAATTTATTCGGCCATATCTTATTTTAGCTGGAACCTCTCCATTTATAGCCGCTGTAGGACATCGATTTAGTTGATAGGTGGCACATCTTACTGCTTCGCCCCATAGGTGTTTTGGAAGTTCCGACTCAAGCATAATGGTTCTGGCTTTTTCTAATAAGCTACGATTCATTCTCTCGGCCGTACCGTTTTGTTGGGGCGTGTATGGGATTGTATATTCTAATTTTATTCCTTTATTTCTACAGAAATTTTTAAAATCGTTTGATGAGAATTCTCCGCCATTGTCACATCTAATTTTACTTGTTTTTGTTCCAAATTCAGCGTTCATTTCTTTTATATAGTTTATAAGATTTTCTTTTGCTTCGCTTTTTGTTACAAGCAGATAAGTGGTGGTAAAATGGGAGAAATCGTCAATGATTGTTTGGAAATATCTTTCTCCATTATTTGTTTTAGGTTTTATTGGACCGCATATATCAGTATGTAGGAGTTCAAACATTCTACTTGATTTCTTGTATTCTACTGATTTATATGGCAATCTTGTTGATTTTCCCTTCATACATAGATCGCATTTGCTTTTACTGTAAGGTAACTTTATATTTTTTAAACTGTTTCTATTGAGATGGCCCAATCTTTTATGCCACAGATCTTCAGTTGTTGTCAAGCAATTATCTTTGCATATATTAAAACGTATTACAAACAATTTTCCCATCTTTTCGTTTTCAATGCATACTCCTTCTTTGGTTATAATCTTTACACTGTTTTTATTAAAAATTACTTGTTTGCCATCTTCTAGCAGTTTTCCTACTGACAAAAGATTATGACTTATGCCGGGTACTATTAAAGCGTTGATTTTCACTTTTCTTTTATTATTAAATAATTTGAGATTGCCCATTTTAATGGATGTTAAACTTTTACCGTTTGCTATGTAAATTTTTACTTCTTGATTTAAATATTTCACATCTGACATGTGTACTTCCATCTCTTCAGGTACTAGGTGGTAAGTGGCTCCTGAATCAACAATAAAAGTAATGTAATTTTCATTTACAGTTGTTGTGTTAGCACTAAAAGCTATAAAACTTAGTTCATCATCTTCATTTTCTTCTTTTTGTTCTTCTTCTTCTTCTTCTTCTTCTTCTGTATAATTTGCTTTGTATCCGTAACCTCTGTAACCTCTTTCTCTGTCAAATCGCCCTCTTCTGCTACTAAATTTTCTAGCGTTTCTTCCTATGAAAAATCGTCTTTGATTGGTTGATCTAGGATTATACTTTGGGTTCTGAAATGAATTACTAGTAGAAGGACCGCTGTTTATGTTATCATAGCATCTACAAGCTTCATTATTATTATATTGTCTTTTGCACCAATGTTGATGATAATTTGCACTGAATGTTACTTCATTTGTTGATATGCCAGTTTCATCTTTAAGATTTTTGAATTTTAATTCTGCTTCTAAAAGTCTTGATTTTACGAATTCTAGGGTCAAGTTTGTGATTAATATTTCTAATGCTGTTATAACTGATTCGTAGCTCTATGGCATAGTTAAAAGTAAGTGACATACTTTGTCATTTTCGTCCATTTTTGAACCTGTTCCTTCTATTTCTCCTATTAACTTTTCAAATATAATAAAATGATCTTCTAAATTATCTGAAGCATTGAATTTTAATGATAGCAGTTTTCTTTTTAAGTAAAGTTTAGAGAAAGTACTTTTTCTTTGAAAAACATTTTCTAATGATGCCATCATTTCTTTTGCAGTTTTGCTACTTTTGATGTATTCAATATGTTTGTCTGATAGACATTGTATAATTAACGATTTTGCTTTGGAGTCCTGTTTTGTTAGTTCGACTTTTCTCTTTTCTTCTGTCACTTCTTGAATATCTATTTCCAAATTTTCTTTGACTCCTTTTTCGTCTAATAGGGCAAACACTCTGAATTTCCAGTTCGAAAAATTTCCACTTGTCAATTGGGGTAAATTTTGCATCATGTTCATTTTTTTTTAATAGCTAATTTAACTGCTCCCTTAATTTAATATAAGGCTCCTGGGCCCATAACCTGTAGAATTTCTTGTGCAGTGGTTTATTATATATATTATATTTTATAATAGAATAAAGATTTATACTTGACAAGTTACTTTTTTATTATTGTCAAACTTACAGATCAATTAATATGTATACAGGGTGTGCACAATCTTAACAACTAATGCTATCAATGACAAAATGACTGCTGAACATAAGATTTCCAACAACTAATAGCTTCGTAACAGTTTAAGGATAAATTTAATTTTCGTTCAATTGTAGGAGCTGTAGATGGCACACACATTGCAATTTTAAAACCACAGATGAACACAATTTCATTCTGTTAATGTACAAATAATATGTGATTGCATAATATTTAAAGATACGTGTGTCGTGCAATCAACTCGAATTATGGTAGCACTACTCATGATGCTTTTATATGGAGATTTTCTGCTGTAAAGCAGCATCTTCATGATGAATATTTAATAAGAATGAGACATACTTGTTTAACAGGGGATTCTGGTTATCCTCTAGAGCCTTATTTAATGGTTCCTTTTTGGATCCTGCTGATGACTCACCTGAAAGCCGTTGTAATTTTGCACATATCCGTGCCCGTAACTGCGTTGAAAGATGTATATATGTTTTGATAACCCGCTTTTGTTGCCTGTTAAGGCAGGTACTCTCCAGAATTTGTGGGAAAATTAGTTCATGTCTGTGCAGTTCTACAATTATTTTTAGATGATTATATGTCGTTTAACTATAATGTGTATATTTTTGGGACCGGGCAAAGTGTATTCCAACCTGTTAATAAAGAAATTAAATACATTTCTGGGAGAAAACATATTTTTTTTCAGATGAGACAAGAAATATCAAACCACCATCGTATAATTTTAAAAATTTTTAATTAATTTTAAATCAATTTTAATAAAGAATTTTGTCTCTGGAGATTCACTAGGAATTGTGAAAACTTTGACAGCGACAAAATGCTCTTTCAGTTAGAAGTATTTTTGACTCGGGAACAGCAGTGTCACTGAACTAATACAGTTTCACTGTTCCACATATTGCACTCATAAGAAATGTTGATCCATTAACAATAGATCAAGTTTCATTACCAAAACAATATTAAGCAATTGTCAAATTTGTTAAACACATTATTTCTTCAAAAGGTAAATGTGCAATACATGAAATAACTTCAGAAAGGTAATATGATCACACTGAGGGGTCAGTATCAAAACGTACAATCTCCACTTTGGATTGCACGTGTGATCCATCAGACTCAATTTATTAAAGGCAAAGGTTCTTGTTTATTATGCCTCAAATTTATTTCGTTTAGTGCCTCTAGAGAAGTTGTGTTCAGATAAGTCAGATACGACTTCGCTCTTCTAGTTCTTCTTTATATGGGGATAGTAATGATTCTGTAAAAGATCCCGATTTTAAAATTGTGCAATTTGAAGCAATTGTATTCGAACCTGAAGAAAACATTGACCACTCATTGACTATAGAAAAACCGTCAACAGCTTCAGGTACAACAGCACATACATCTACCACACCACCTGTAACTTCTTTAATATCTGCTTCAACCTCGGATGGTTTATCAATACCGATAAAGATCAAGCAAAGCAGAAAACGCAAAGCTGAGCTAAACAAATGGAAATAAAATAAATAAAAAGTTCTCAGGAATGCAGGGTCTGCATACGTAACAACGAAAAAGGTGGAAATAAGAGGTAGAGCATTGAAGAAACCATGCAACAAAAAGTGCAGATTAAAATGTGACAAAATTACCGAACAAGAGCGAAAGCAAATTTTTAAAGAGTAGTGGGGACTTGAAAATATAAAACGTCAAAGGCAATTTATTAACAAAAAAATGACACAAATAAAAAAGAAATGTAGGTATATAACAAAAAGAAAGAGAGGAAGAGCGCATTTTACTTTTTGATTATGGAACAAAAGATATTTTCTTCAAACTTCAACCGCAAAGGTAATAATAACGGTCATAGCTAAAAGCACATCCAAGGGCGCAACTGAGATAAGAGAGGAAAACATCACAGTCATCCTCACTTGCCTGAAGACATTAAGGTGTCAGTCCGCAATCACATTAATTTGATTCCTCGTATAGAGTCATTACCTGTTACACCAAACCAAAATAAAATTTATTGAGGGTGGCAAAACCATAGCTGATTTACATTACGACTAAAAAGAAGAGCGTATGTGTAAAACTAAACACGCCAATTAAGGTAAGTGCACCAATGGTTGACAGCAATCCCATAAATTAACACTCTAAAAGTGTACCTTATAGAATAAGAACATTTTAAGAAATAGATTTGTTTATATTACATCAAATAATACTATCTAGTATATTGTGACCAAAGCTAGTGAAGGTCAGATGCACATAACTATCATAGCCGAAAAATAAGTCAACCGCCGACACGCCGATTTGCAGTTTGTTAAAATTTTTAATATTTGTTCTGAGTGCTGCTAAAAAAGTAGTTAAGTCAATTTAAGGTATTTTCACTGACTATTAAATTTGGTATACTTCTACTGTTAAAAGTAACTGTTTGAAAATTACCAAAGGCTTACACTTTACTAAAAAAATTTTAAAAGAGGAAAAAGTTGACAATTTTAAAAGCTGTTCTATTTGGTCTGAAGACATTCAAGATCATTTGTTATTTTAATTTTACAAAAAGTATCTTAAATAAAGAGAAATCATTGGAACAAAAAGTGACGTCTCATCCAACGTAAGAAGCAGAGGAACCCACAATTATTAGCGTTGTAGCTAATAACCACAGGTTTTGCAGGATAGTGAATTAACCAAAGGTAGGTTATAGTATACGGTTGCCACCTTTTCATTTTTCGAAACCCAAACATGATCGATACAGCCAGATTTACAAAAGAGAAAGCGGGACAACGATAACGGCACGGGATCAGGTTAAATACCAAGTATTTTATAAGATCAGGTTCTTGTTCTTTAAAATTTCTAAAAAAAAGATGCTTAGCTTATACTTTTATGAACCAGGTCCTTCGGCCGAGCTTCTAAAAAAAAAAACCGCTTTAGCTTATAATTTTTTAAACCAGGTCCTTCTGCCGCCGAGGTCACAGCCTGTATTGTGCATAAACCAAAAAAATGTCCTTTTAAACACTTCTAAAATTAGGGATGGATGGGAGGATATTGCAACTAAAATTAATGCGTCAGAGTGCTTGAATTAAAAAATAAGCTGGCAGATTTAAAAACAGAAACAAAGAAAAAGGCAACTGAATTAATACAACAGGGAAGCCTCGGAAGGCGGAAACCCTCTAAAAATATATCTAACAGTACTCGAGTAGAAAGTACTACAAATCACGGGTTTAGTTGTGGTTAATGGTGTAGATGAAGTGATAGATATTTTTAAAGAAAGTGAAGGTAACCTAAATTTTACATTTGAATTTAATAATGCTACAAACTCTTAAACAGATGAAGCCCCCAGTTACCCTGAAAATGAAGTATCTCCAAATAGTTTTAAGATAAAAAATACTATTAGAGAAAAGGAAGAAACTAAAAAGGAAACAACATACAAAAGGCCTCTCAAACGAAACACAGAAGAATTAGTCACACAAAATGTAATGAAAAACCAACAAAATATTCTGAAAAAAATGAGAATCACAAATTGCCTTATCCGAAAACTACTCATTTAAGAAAAAAATTTTTTTTAATTAAATCTTATTTTTCAGTTTACTTAGAGTAGCTGATATTTTTAACATAATTTTAATATTATTTTGAACTCTTAAAAGATTCTTTTATTATTGTGCCATTATTAGTTAAGATTATTTTTATATCTGTATAAAATGCTAAATATTATTTTTAGATTGATATAATACCTATATACCTTTGTTATGTTTACAAAAATTAATTTTTGTTCTTTAAAATTTCAGTTTTGTATGGAGTGATTTACAAAAATTGTTTATAAAGAAACCCTTTATTCATGTATTTGGGGCATATATTAAAATTATTTTTTATGACATAAATGTCCTTGTCAGTCATGGCCTAATTTAGAAATATGTTTTATTGGCCACTCTTTACATTTTGAGTTTAGTTTTTACATTTATTTATTTATTTTTATGTTCCTTTCAAGTATACTCTTATTCGAACATGTTTTGTTGTTTTTGAATTTTGGTATTTTTTTTTATAAACACTTTTATTTTAAATAATTATTTATTAATGCATAACTCTATTTTGAATTAGCAGTTGACGAAGAGCCTCAACTCTTATAAAATTTATATTTTGCATATCATTGGATTCATCATGGACATATCCATCCTGCATATTATCAGCATCATTATAATGTTCCCCGAAGTTGGGAGCCAATCTTATGTTGCGTAACATTAGTATGCCTATGTGTCAAATTGTATCGTTCTTCCATACCATTATTTGGATTTCGAACTGGTGTAAGCATACAGTGCTCTAATGAGTCTAATAGATAACCACTATCACCAAGCAACCAAGAATTTAAAAACAGTTCAGGAGTGCAAAAATCTTCTTAGTCCAAAGTTACTATAAATGATTAAATCATGCAAATTTCCTGGGGGTCAATTCTTGAATGCATGCGGGTTCATTTTGTATACTTTTGTTAGTGGACTACGCACACTTTTAAAAGACAAGTATTCTCGACACCATTCGACTAAAAAGTGTACGATTTTTAAGACGATTTGCGCATACCTTGCAACGAGTGGGTGATAGTACTCGCTAGGCAAGGAAAAGTGTAGATTTGTGAAATATTTTAGGTATGTGCAGTGTGTAGAACTTTCGAAACTCATTATTTTATACTATTAATAAAACAAAAATGGCGAACGACGATATTATTAATATAATGGCGATGTCCAATTTAGAAGAAGCTGAAATACTAGCAAGCCAGCCAGACAGACAATTTCATATACGAGATGATCCATTTAATTTGAGTGATAATGCTTTTGTAAGAGAATATCGATTATCTAAAGTAATGGTAAATAAACTGATAGATTACTTACAGCCATTAATGGTAATTCCAACCAGAAGTTTAGCTTTGGATGTAAAAGTAAATGTTGATCCTATTAATAAGCTATTTTTTTTTACTAAACTATATTATATTGCAGGTTTTAATAGCATTACATTTTTTTTGCTAATGGAAGTTTAGCATAGGAAGAAATTTTAATTTGGCTGTATCTCAATCTTCTGTAAGTCGAGCTATGTTTGTGCAATATATCCCGGAAGTACCAAAGATTGTTTTATATGGAATAATAGTAAAGTGTAAACATTATTCAGAAACCTTCACAGGGATGGGCATAAATCTTTTCTTCTCTTGGGTATGTAATTTTATCCAGTCAAAATATCATAAACAAAAACAGATTTTTTCCTAGGTTTATCTTATGTAATAATTAATGGAAAATATTAACACATTTCTATTTATTTTCTTCACTATTTATATATCCTGGCTGAACCACAGCCATGTAACCTAAGAAATGAACTTGGTGATTCCACCAAAATTTTTAAACTAAAAAAAAAATTATTAAAGTATTAACTACAATTAAAAATGTTGTCTACTACGGTTACACAAGTTTCGGTTGTTCCGGTGTCAACCTTCGGGCCTTCGACGTCGCTCAGACGGCAGCTAGGGGGTGGATAGCTTACAAGAATTCCGGAAATAGTAGACAAATGAGTAGGCGCCAACTGGGTCTATATAGTGGCCAAACTATGATCCTATTTCCCCAAAAACCCAGTAAATGAGGAAAGAAATAAAAGACAAACCTCAACTTATGTTCCTTTATAAAAAAAAAAATATTTACTAAATATATCGGCTTTAGATTTCAACAATTATAATGGACAAACTAATTACCTAATGGCTTAGATAATCCAAAAAAAGTTGGAGGAAATAAAAGGGAAAATTTACACTGTATATGTATATGCGTAACCCAAAAAAATTAATAATGTATCAAAGTATGGCACGGTTCGTCGTTAGCTTGGTACCAGGCATGACGCTTGCGCAAAATATTAATTTCCACCTTACATAAAAAAAATAAAATATAAAATAATAGTTAACTTAAATCTTGCGCATAACCGCACCTATACTACATCATATATTATAAACTAAACAATAAACTTATAATCCTTATAAGCTTATAACCCTCTCCAAATTGGAAGGCGATATCTGCTTAACTTTTAGTTAAGACCAAACTACCCAAAAGAAAATTATTAAACCATGAAATTTTATAGTTAAGTATAATTCATAGAACTAAATAAAAATATCAAAAAAAGAAAATAAAAATACAACATATAAAGGACTTTAGACACAGAGGTTATTTACTTAAACTCCCAGGTTGGAAGAGGTTACTTAATCTCTGCCCCCACACGGGTCTTCTGAGATTGCTTAACCTAATCGTTAAGTCTGGACCATTTAATAATGAATAAATTGAATAAAGTAAAATTATGGCAGTAGCCCTTAATAACTGAAGAATTACAACTTAAACGTGGAAGCAGTCCAAGTGTTCTGCGACCCGAAGGATTACTACATCAGCATTAAGTGCTTAAATTAAGTAAAAATTTAAAATATTAATCAATTAAACGATGTAACATTTGATAATACTTAAGTTATGAGTGAAAGAACCCTAGAACATTCTGTGCTCAAGAGTATA